TTATTTAAATAGTGCTGAGTATTCATCATTACCTTCAAATTTTTCTCTGGCAATTTAATTGGCACATTTGATGATAGAAAATGATGGAATCTATAGTGTGATCTGCACTAAACTGTAAAAAATACTGGGATATTCTTAATATCTTTTAAATGTAAAACCGGAGAAGAGTGAATTTTAATTAAATTTATGTGAATTATAATATGATGTGAGATGAATGATTAATGATAAAGTATTCGCGTGAGGACAGTGATGAGAGAAATTAATCATTGGAGAGGTGAAACGAGATGCGTCTCAAAGGGGATATCTCTGAGGGATACTCATTTCATATATGATTATCATTCATAAGTTCAATCGAGTCAATGTTAGCAATAGCCAATCACCATTCGCATATATAATGAGGTTCAGTTTGACCTTATTTCCAACGACCGCAAGATAAACTGAACAGAACCAAATGATATCAATTATTCCTAAATTCCTAGAATATTCCCAAACACATTCGGTAAAAAATCACTCTCCGTTACAGAAAAATTATACGCAATATTGAGCCATTGATCACGTTCACTGGAATATTTTTTGATCGAATGCAGGGTAAATTTTACAGTTTCGGCACAAATTACCCTCACGTTCAGTAAATTTTCCCGGGTGAACGGAAAAAATTTACTATTCGTCTCGCACTTTGTCCCCGATATAGAGTGAAAAAGTACTGAAAATCAAGTTCGCTCCACGATTAGGGGAGCTGGTGCCTGTACCGCCCACCCGTATTTCTCAGGATTGGCTGAGAAAATTTTCTTTTTCTTTTTTTATGTAAATATTTGATAACAACAAGTAATTTCAACGAAAATTCTCAATTTTCTCCCGTGGAAACATCGTTAAAAAAATCCAAATCATTTCCTACCGAATTCTTAAAATATTTCGACCCCAGAATTTAAGATTTTTCAAATTTTCAGTTGGCCCATAATTGAATGGAGTGCGAAACATATGTTCGTTATACATTTCCAAATCCATTGCGACCTGTTCGATAGCAGAAAAATATCTTCATCAGTTATTATTGGCTATTTTATCAGCCTCCGCGTTTGTGGGTAATTCCGTCCGGAGTTTGTGGGTAATGCCGCCCAGGGTTTCTATAGGGCTGCTAGATTCTGCAGCTAGAGGGCGGTCAAGTGACAGCTCGATTGTTTGGGGTAGTCAGTGGCCACTGGAACATCGGGTAAATTCAGGATAATTTATTATTATTCACGTGAAATCTTTCTCAAAATGGAGCCAAAGAATGGAAACGGGGGCAGGGAGAGAAATATTCAGTAAAAATTACGGAACTCACAATTCGCTTACCGATTACGGAATCGACTCAGAAAATTTAAGTGACGGTATCGTAATTTTTCACATGAGATTAAGAAAAAAATTACGGAACGCTCTGGAAAAATTCCGTGATAGTTCCGTAAAATTTCCTACAGCCACATTTCGCTTCAGAATTACGGAAAAGATACGTAATTTTTATTGAATATTTCTCTCCGTGGGATGAAAATAGGAAAAATTATAACAGTTGGTCTGCATTGCTGAAAAAAGTCATCAAAACAAGTTGGGCGGTATTGGACGCATGCCCGGCGGTATTACCCTCAAAGTTCGATTCCATCGCTCACTGGCCAATGGCAATGGAATTACATAATTAAATATGTTTAATGTTAATAAACAATCTGTCCTCTTCACATCTTCGAGTAAACACCTCAAAGAACCCATTCTAACCGTTTATGACTGTTTGCAGAGAGTGAGACAGGAAAAAACGAGTCATTTCCCTCAGGTGGGCGGTACATACACCAGCTTCCCTATTTATTAAATATTTCGAAGGAAAGAGTTTAACTAATTTTTTTGCGGACAAAAATAAAACCCCCGTCCTCAATTTGTGAAACCGCTACAATCAATCCATCAACTAAAATGTCAAGTATTCGAACAACACGCGGAATTATAAAAAAAAGTCTAAATGAAAAAAGTACTATTCTCAGGATAATGAGATATTAAATACGAAGGAGCAGATAATGACCTCTGCATTATGTCCCTATTCGTGTTTCGAGGCCATCAGACTTTCTACATCGATCCTCCCGAGGACCGAAGATTTCATCCTCCACCCACCATCATACTGGATTATTATTTATCGATAATGCAATATCAAAGTGGCATATCCCCATCCCTCGCTATTCCGTGAGGGTAGCATGATTCAGGGGATTGACGTAGTTCTCTTGCCAGACAACAACAGTAGTTAATCGGTTTATGATTTTTTTTTCTCCTTTTCATTTTATTCTACCTCATTACTTTTAATGAGGATGATGCAATGAAATCCACGATAATCTCGGGAGTAACAAGTTTTCGAAATCGATCCATCGTTACCGTTGGTTTTATTATTTTTGATGGAGGCAGGATTATAATTGTGATTTCAATTCGAGCACTCGAGAGCGATACGATAAACATGCATTCGTGGAGAATAAAAAATAACTTTTATTTTTCGCTAAAAATAAATGGTTTTGAAAAGGACAAACAGCTTTTTTAATATGAAGGATTGAATTATTAGGGGGCTACGCCCCCTGCTCGCTCCGCTCGCCAACCCCCATATGACCCCCACTACCCTTATTTGGACCCTTAATCGGACCTTTGTGATCCTTAGTCTTTTGGGACCGTCATTTGGATCCCTAATCTGACTCGCATTATAACCCTCGTGAATTTTATTTTGGTCCTGGTGACCCCTTGTTTCTGACCCTTGGTTTATGACTGCCATGTCCCTTATTTGAATCCTTACTCTGACCCTAGCGACCTTTCATCTGATCCTTGTGACACTTATTTAGATCTTCAATCTGACCCTTGTTACCCTGATTTGAACCTTTAATATGACCCTTGTGACCCTTAATCTTGCGATCGTTAATCTGATCCTCATTACTCTTAATCTAATCGTTGTGGCCCTTATTTGTACCCTTATCTTGAATCTTAATTTGACTCCGTAACCGTTAATCTGACCCTTGTGACCCTTATTTGAACCGTTAATCTGACCCTTATGACCCTTAATCTTGCGATCGTTAATCTGATCCTCATTACTCTTAATCTAATCGTTGTGGCCCTTATTTGTACCCTTATTTTGAATCTTAATTTGACCCCGTGACCCTTAATCTGATCCTTGTAACCCTTATTTAAACCCTTAATCTGACCCTTGTGACCCTTAATCTTGCGATCGTTAATCTGATCCTCATTACCCTTAATGTAACCCTTGTGGCCCTTATTTGTACCCTTATTTTGAATCTTAATTTGACCCCGTGACCCTTAATCTGATCCTTGTAACCCTTCCTTAAACCCTTAATCTGACCCTTGTGACCCTTAATCTTGCGATCGTTAATCTAATCCTCATTACCCTTAATTTAACCCTTGTGGCCCTTATTTGTACCCTTATCTTGAATCTTAATTTGACTCCGTGACCGTTAATCTGACCCTTGTGACCCTTATTTGAACCTTTAATCTGACCCTTATGACCCTTAATCTTGCGATCGTTCATCTGATCCTCATTACCCTTAATGAAACCCTTGTGGCCCTTATTTGTACCCTTATTTTGAATCTTAATTTGACCCCGTGACCCTTAATCTGATCCTTGTAACCCTTATTTAAACCCTTAATCTGACCCTTGTGACCCTTAATCTTGCGATCGTTAATCTGATCCTCATTACTCTTAATTTAACCCTTGTGGCCCTTATTTGTACTCTTATTCTAAATCTCAATTTGACCTCGTGACCCTTAATTTGACCCTCAAGATCCTTGTGACCCTTAATTTCGGAGTCTTAATTTCGAGTATTAAATTTTTATCATTAGAAGTCGATTTAGATTTTTATAATTTAGAGAGATAATGAAATGAAATTGTTTAAAATGTGGTGAAATGGATAAATGGATTTTAAAATATTTTCCAACAATTGTTTTTTTATTGGAGTCCTGTGAAGTGGAAACATTCCGAGATTCAAGCCATTGAAAATAATTTACTTCTATCTAGGAAAAATGGTGTATATATCAGGAAATTTCTCTATCAGTGTATTAATGTGCAGATATGAGACAGCTGATTAATGAAAAACCACTTCCACTGAAATTTCAGGAAAATTTCAGGAAATCTGGTCAATGAAAAATCAAATACTCCATTGATTTTCTGTCCAAATGAACTGGAAATCAATAAAATACTTGCTTTTTCAGTTCAATTATCCTGTGAAAATTCAGAAAAATCAGGAAAATTCAGGGAAAAATTGAAAATTCATGTTATTTTGTATCTGAATATTCATGTACCACTGAAAATTCAATCAAGTTGTGAAATTTCCATCCCACTACCACTGAAAACTCATGTCAACTTTAAATCCGATCCAATGTCACTCTCATAAGATTTACTATAATATCTTCCCTGAAATTTCAAACAATTTCCAACAGTGTTCTGCCAAAAAAATGATTCCTCGGCAAAAGTATTTTTTTTTCTCAGTGACCATGTTCATTCTGCCCTCCGTATCTTTCACCTCTTTAAAACACTCGAATATGTAGATTGAGATCCTCCAGCAGATGATGCCAATTAATCCCCCAAAACACTCGCAGATTATTAAGATCATCAAGTGAAATTAATTTAACCAATAGAATTGCAAATAACCGAATCGATCCAATGACGTCTGCTAAGACCATTGACGAGGAGTTTAGCCGTTGAATTCATTGAAAACGTTTCAATTTGAATTTAACGGGGTATTTGACGAATTGGGGCCAATTATTGGGCATCTCACAGTACATCAAATCTGCATTGATACGCGGTAATGAATAAATGGCTGGATCGGTTCGAATTCAAACCCGGTGGTAGATGGGGAAGGCGGGGAGGAGAAGGAGGAGGTGTTGTTACCGATGATTAAAACATTCTGCTACATGTCGTTGGTGTAACGATTTACGTTGATTTTAATTATTTCGGTTTTAATGAAGAACATCAATCTATTGGGCTTGGATTATTGACTCACCAATATTTGGATGCTGCAACTTTCTACATATCCGTGCTTCTCGCTCCAACTTTTGAAAATCTGAAACAATAATTTGATTTCATCGATTAGATAAATCTGATGTGCACTAAACTAGTCTTATTAACCCCTCACCAATGGGGCCCTTTCGTTTCCAAGCGTGCACGGAGAGAAATATTCCATAAAAATTACGGAACAATTCACGTAATCCGCAACGGGAAATCGTTTTCCGGAAATTTTTATAGGAATGGAAGAGAAGAAATCTGAAACGATCAGTGAATTTTCAGGTTCATCACCGAACAAAGTACGAAATTTTCACGTAATTTTTCTGGAGGAAGTAAAATCTTACAGAAATTTCCCGACTTATTATGACTCCAAAATCAGAAATTTTTGAACGTTCACCAATCTTCATGAAGCTGGTGAGTTATTTCTATGTTCCGTTCCATAAAATTTCTCCGTCGCTGGAGAAAAATTACGGAACGACTTGTTGTCCCCACAGCGGTGAATCATCAGACAGCTGGTTAATTTTTACGGAACAAATCGTAGAATTTACGTGGCGATTCGTACAATTTCACTTCCGACTCACACTTTTTATTGAACCGTAATTTTTACGTTTTTTTTTTGGTAATTTTTATTGAATTTTCCTCTCCGTGTGGAGTGCGCTCGATGCAATTAGAATGTAATGACTTCTAATCAACGGAAAATTATGAAACCGATATGTAATTGAAGCTACAGTATTCCTTTTTTCGTCGTTATTTGTTTGCTTCAGTTAAACTCCATAGTTTTCGAAATAATCAATTTCAAAGAGAGTCATTCATGTTTTCATGGGTCGATGCATCACGGCATCGACCCCGTACGTGACGGGTTAAGGCGTTTCAATTTCAAGTAGTATGAATTCTAACTTTGATGGGTGTAAGAAATTAATCTATCAAATTCTTTCTTCAATTATTATTTTTTTATTATTTTTTTTAAATTTTCTTATCTCCATTTCTTTCCTACTACCATTACGGTTTTATAGGCTCCCCATTCGTCAGCCTTGCCTCTCCCACTTCTCTCTTCTGATTTTCATCTGCGTTACCATGGGCCGTCTTACTTTTAACTGTACCCCATTCGGGCTGGGACTGATGCGGCACATAACATTATAGTAACTTCACAGGTGTAATGTTTGCAAATCAAAATGCAGTTAAGTCAGTCGGTTCAGTGATTCCCTAAGTGGCCAACCCGTCGGTATGCCCACACTTGACCCCCGGGCGTAAATACAATATATTAATAATTTTGAGACACTTAAAATAATTGCTCTTCAAGAAGTTCGTTATGCAAAGAAAAAAAACAATGTTCCACTACTACCAACCCGTGATGGTTAATCGAAGACACGAGGAAAGTCTCCCTCAATTATCCATCAAGTCCCACGTCACTCCCCCCTCATTCATTATTCGATTAGATAAAAAAGAAGTTCCGAATATTCCTGGGGGAATCGTACAAGTTGCCGAGCTAGTCGGCCATTTCCCCTGGCCTCGTTGAATCCACCCTCGGTCATGCTGGTAACGCCCGATGAAAAATCAATCTGCTGCACGTGCCAGTTTTCCTCAACTCACCGTCAACTTTTTTCTCCTGGATTAGTGGCGCCGGTTGAATACACACTCGATTTGAATCAACAAATTGCGTATCATTCAGGATATGGAGATGGTGCATATACATCTACATGTATCTATTCAGAGGAAATTCAATTATTTTGGTCAGGCTGTTGATTATTTATTCCTGGAGGAGACCATTTTTTGTTTCCAAAGCTTGTTATTGCTCTCATCAATTACCGATATAGACTAAAAACACTATTGACAATGATAATTTAAAGGGATGTGCCTATATTATTTGAAATGTCTGGATAAACATCGAGAAATTATTAAGACAGGTACATTGTTAAAAAAATTTATAGGGAGAAAAAAGTTGGAGAAAAATTATCGAACAATACATGCCGGGAATCGACTTATTTCCTGTCGAAATGCCGGCATGAATCAAGTCAACGTCAGGCAGATGCAAACCGGCACATCGGTCTGGTTCAAGTCGATTTTTCAACTTGATTCAGGTCATTTTTTCGGCTTGATTGAAATCGATTTTTCGACCTGATTCAAGTCAATTTTCCGGCTTGATTCAAGCTGATTTTGCGACTTGAAATTTGTTTTAAAAAATAGTGGAAACTGTACATTTCAGTTCAATTATTCCATCAAAATTTATTAAAATCAAGACGAAAAATCGGCTTGAATCAAACTGAAAATCGACTTGCATTAAGCCGAAAAATCGGTTTGAATCATGGTAAAAAATCGATTTGAATCTCGCCGAAAAATCGACTTGAGTGAAGTCGACAATTGACTTGAATCAAACCTAAAAATCGACTCGAATCAAGGGGCTATCTACTATCTGGAACACGCAGAATTTCGGCGTGAATCACTCCATTTTTCGGTGCGATTCAAGCCCATTTTTCGACTTAATTCAAGTCAATTTTTCGGCTTGGTTCAAATCGATGTCGGCTTGACACGTTTCTTCTTGAAATAAACCACTTTTCGACTCATATCAGACCCGGAATCCGGATTGGCATAGTCCGAGTCACTCGACTTAAATGAAGTCGAAAATCGACTAGAATCAAGCCGACGTCGACTTGCATCTGTACTTTTTTTGGGTGAAGTCAAGTAATTGTGTACAAATTATTGTCGGCTTACGACTCTCCCATTTATTCATATTCACAGACAGATTATTAATGTTGCCCCATTCGCAGCGAGAATGAATGAAAAATATTAAAATTCTCTCACATTCGACTAAAAGAATGCATAAATCATTATCCCCCTGCATCATAAAAGAACAATACCATTGCATTTAAAACCCCGTAATATATAGTCCCCAGATGTAGATTATCGATATGATATGCATGTACGCTTATTATTTCGCACGAAAGAGGGATTAATAGTTCTTTACCATACAATACATATTAATGCCTTGCATTTACCCCAGTAGAAATTTCATCGGATACAAGTGACGTCCCGACAGGGTACACTGAGAAAATAGTAGATTTCATCATTAGGCGCACAAAGTATTTTCTGACGAATGTGAATTTATAATTTGAGAGCCGAAGGCGAGGATTATAATCACATTCGCCAGAAAATACTTTGTGACCCCCATCAAAAAGTATATAAAAAATATACATAATATGGGCCAATTCCATATATTTTTCAAATTTATAAAGAACATAAAAAAATGAAATATATGTTTTCTATAATTTTTAAAATATAAATTGGGCCAATTCAAGATATTTTTTAATATATTTTTCAAAATAGAAATTTTTCCGTATGCGGAGCCGTATTATGTACAGTTCGAGTTAAGGTGTTTCGTGTGTAGACCACCGGGGAGGGCGGGGGGGTAGCGTCTCACCTGCAACGCTGCATATACATCTACGCGTTGACCACGGACACCGAGGAGTAGATGATTGAGACGGGTAAACGAAAACTCTTGGCCTGTCTCACCCGCTCCTATTGTGTCACGTGTATATCTCGGACTTAATTCCATCTACGGAATTCGGGCGTCTTGCAAATTCGGAGATACCTCAAGAAGTCAGTCTGGCGCTAACCGCCAAATACTCAGCAAGTCGACCACCCGACTTCTACGTAACATCTTCACTTCTGTATACATTCCTTAACGTCTTGTAAATATACTGTGATTAGTTAATTGAATGGCATTTGTTAGTGAATTGAATCTGCTTCCCACAACCCCAATTCCTCCGGGGTGGAGGGGGGGGGGGGGCTGAAACGGAAGGCGAGTCTCATTGTTCTCGAGCCTTGACTCAATCACTGAAAACGAAATTTTCCAATTTTCAAGTAACTACTGAAGTGTGCATNTGAAAACTAAATTTTCCAATTTTCAAGTAACTACTGAAGTGTGCATTTGAACATTTTTCGAATATTGATTTTATTTATCAGATTGATTGATTCATTTCTCATCGCCTATGGGTGTCAAATAATTTTTATTGGATGTTTTTCTAATTATTGAAATAATATTAAAATGTGTCTCGAGTTGGTAAACCTGTCGAGTGTTTTCTCTCTCTCAGTTCCATGGTCCAACCCATACATTCCCCATAATGCTCACTGACATTCGAATCACGCGTCTGCGAGGCGCGTGAGGGCGTAATTGCCCCAAAACTCATAATTTTCCAAATAATTTGTTCAAATAACTTTCTTATGACATTTGAAAAAATCTGAAACTTATACGTGTTCTCAAGAAAGATTAGATTTATCACCCAGTAGTTTTCCCTCAAAATAGTTTATTATTTTTCTGGGTGCCATGGAAATTTACCGAATTGAGAGGGGGATAACCTCGGAGGATATAGATGGAGGGGTTACAAAAACATCCAAATTTCATGATTTTTTTTCGTGAAACGGAGATCTGAAAAAAATGTGTAAGAATTTTCAATGATGCAGCATACTCAGATATTTTTCCCATAAATTTTCCATTTTTTTTTCATTATTTTGACTTTTTACACGAAACACCTTAACTATGGTCCTGCATTCGATGTCTCACATTCAAATTTATTATGTTCCCACAGGAATAAAAAATAATTTTATGTTCTTTCCGTGTGATGCATCGGGGTACCGCGATGAAATTTCCACTCGGGCACAAAATCTATATCACGGAATTTTAACTATTCCATTAACATAATTTAAAAACGAGCGTAAATACTTCGTTTCATGATATTCACGGGTAGAATAAATCAACACCATTCTGTTTGTTCTGGGGTATAATTTACCGCACAGTGGGGAGGCCCGCGGGATGTATTGTTTGATTATGATCAATATGGGGAAAATTATATTACTGCTTCACGCAGTATTAACATTTGAGTGCACATTACCCAAGTTTTCGTAACTGTATTCTCTAATGAGTATTAATCGAGTGGAGCTAGTTGGGGGGGGGGGGGGTGATGGGGCATCAAAATTGATTGAATTAGGTAATCAGCGGGAGTGAATTGCCCATATCTGGGTCAAATTAGTTATAAACTCTCGGCCTGACAATTGGTGACCAGT